GTTCATCCAAAAAGAATACTTTATCCAACTAGGCTATCACTCAAACAACAATTAATAAAGTTTATGACCACTAGCTCAGCTCTGCAAGGCATACTAAATGGTTTTCTATAAAAGGCACAGCAGAAGTTGCAATGGCATTCATCTCTGGATTAATTACAGAACTAAATTGGATAACTTCTGCTTTTTGCTGTATATATGACATTATTTGTGAAAACACTTTTGAAAAAGAATTTTTTTACTTTCCACTTTCTGGTTTCAGAAACATGGACCAGGGATGTGGCTTGGTGTTAGAGCACATGCCTCACATATGCTCACATATGTAAGGCCCTGGGGAGGAGGAGGAGGAGGAGGAGGAGGAGGAGGAGGAGGAGGAGGAGAAGGAGGAGGAGGAGGAGGAGGAGGAGGAGGAGGAGGAGGAGGAGGAGGAGGAGGAGGAGGAAGATGACGAAGAAGTCACTGTCCTACAAAACGAGTCATTACATTCATGCAAACAGAGACTTCTCCCCTGAGCTGATCAGAGGCCAGACCCTGCCAAAGTCACTGACTCCCATGGAGACAAGCAATACACTGTGCCTTTAAAGGAGAAGGAGGAGGAGGAGGAGGAGGAGGAGGAGGAGGAGGAGGAAGAGGAGGAGGAGGAGGAGGAGGAGGAGGAGGAGAAGGAGGAGGAGGAGAAGGAGGAGGAAGAGGAGGAGGAGGAGGAGGAGGAGGAAGAGGAGGAGGAGGAGGAGGAAGAGGAGGAGGAGGAAGATGATGAAGAAGTCACTGTCCTACAAAAGGAGCCATTACAGTCATGCAAACAGAGACTTCTCCCCTGAGCTGATCAGAGACCAGACCCTGCCAAAGTCACAGACTCCCATGGAGACAAGCAATACACTGTGCCTTTAAAGGAGGAGGAGGAGGAGGAGGAGGAGGAGGAGGAGGAGGAGGAGGAGGAAGAGGAGGAGGAGGAGGAGGAGGAGGAGGAGGAGGAGGAGGTGGAGGAGGAGGAGGAGGAGGAGGAGGAAGATGACGAAGAAGTCACTGTCCTACACTGTTCATTTCATCACCCCATTTTCTGATGGAATTGGATGTTTTTTTTTTTTCTTGTGGTGTTCAACCAGTGCCTTGTATATCCTTGATATTAACCCTTTATCACAAGGGTATTGGGTGAATATCCTTTCCCATTTTGTAAACTGTCTTCGTATTCTGGTCACTGTTTCTATTGAGGTGCAGAAGCTTGTTAGTTTAAGATAGTCCCATTTGTTTATTTCTGCTTCTGCTTACTTGGTCAGTGGCGTTTCATCTTTGAAGATACCTTTAGCTTCAATGTCCTGCAGGGTTTTTCCGGCCATTTCTTCAATGTACCTTATGGATACTGGTCTGATGTTGAGGTCTTTAATCCATTTTGATCTGACTGTGTGCATAGTGTTAGGTAGAGATCTGGGTCCTTTTTTTTTTTTTTTTTTGCATGTCGCTGTCCAGTTTTGCCAGCACCATTGTTACAGAGGCTTTCCTTGCTCCACTTCATATTTCCTGATCCCTTATCAAAGATTAAATGATCAAATATTTGAGGGTGTGTGTAAGAATATTTAACTCTATTCCATTGGTCTGCAGATCTGTCTTTATTCCAAAACCATGTTGTTTTAATTATTATTGCTTGGTAGTACAGTTTGAGGTTGGGGAAGGTGATGCCTCCCATCTTATTTTCCTCAAGAATTGCTTTAGCTGTTTGGGAGGGCTTATTTTTCCATATGAATTTCAGGTCACTTCCCTATTTCAAAGTTGCAGATTTTTATAAATTTTCCTTCTCCTTGTGTTCCTGCAGTCCTAGTCACAAGATTTCCCTCAAAAACACTATCTTGACAAACGACTAGAGGCGCTGTGTATATACCCAATGGAAAGCCACACAGTCATGAGAAAAGATGAAATCATGCCATTTGCTGCAACATGGGCAGATCGAGAAGGTATCATGTGAAGCAAAGTAAATCAGAAGGAACAGCAGCAGGATGGCTGCACTCACCTATGGCTTTTAGAGAAGCAGGCAGGGGCTATGGAAGCTGTCGAATGATCGCCAGCCCTTGGCTCTGCACCACAGGACAGAGGGTGCCAAGTAAAGGGGAAGATTGGGAGAATGATGATGAACTGGCAGCCACGTACGGACACTGGTCCAAGGTCCTGGGCACTTCACTGATAAAGAGATGAGATGACTGTGCACAAACTGTAAAAGTATCAACACTATTGCAAGCAAGTTACAGAAACTATAATTTTTTTTTAATTTCAATGAGTCTTCCAAAAGGGTGTCGGGGTTGGGAAGGGAAATGAAGTCATTTTGGGGAGGGGAGAGGGGAGGCCCACTGCCATCGGTGGTGAAGCCGGAGCTGGAACACTATGCCTGAGACCCTACTACCAACAGGATCTGTAAACCATGGTACCTAAATAAAAACTGAAAAAGCTTCCTTCAAAAACCTACAACCAGAAAAATAAAATCCACTCTTACTGTAACAAGACCACATTGTGAAGCAACCTGCCCTGAAAAGCTAAGTGGAAAAGCCTTTCTGAAAATATGTCTGTGGAAGGGTTACTTGTTTCCAGCAAGTACTTTTATGAGGGAGCTTGCTTTTGAAAAACAAGGTGCCAATGTGTTTCTGAAACAGAAATGATTACGGTCTGCTGAAATTCAAGAGAACTACCGAATTTTAGCCAAAAAACGTTACATTTCCTATCACTTAAAATGAATGTTCCCTAAAAAATCATCTATGGGGGGCTGGAGCGATAGTAGGGTGTTTGCCTTGGACGTGGCCGACCTGGGTTCAATTCCCCTATAGCATCCTATATGGTCCCCCAAGCACTGTCAGGAGTAATTCCTGAGTGCATGAGCCAGGAGTAACCCCTGTGCATCACCGGATGTGACCCAAAAAGCAAAAAAAAAAAAAATTAATTAATTTAATTTAATTATCTATGGGGCCCATACAGGGAGGAGAGAGGGGGAAAGTGGGGAGAGAAGGGAGAAGAAGGGGCTGGGGAGAGGGGGAGAGGGAGAGGAAGGCACAGAGGTGAGGGAAGGAAAGGGAGAGGTAGAGGAGGGGAGGAAAAGGGAGTGGAGAGGAAGGATGAAGGGGAGAGGAGAGGAGAGAGGCGAGGGGAGGGGAGGGGAGGGAGGAGGGGAGGGGAGGGGAAGGGAGTGGAGGGGAAGGGAGGGGAGGGGAGGGGAGGGGAGGGGAGGGGACGGTGGAGGGGAGGGAAGGGAAGGGGAAGGGAGGGGAGGGGAGGGGAGAGGAGGGGAGGGAAGGGGAGGGGAGGGGAGGGGAGGGGAGGGGAGGGGAGGGGAGGGGAGGGGAGGTGCCAGAGATGCAAAGCCTATAAGACTGACACAAATTTCTCCCCTAAGTTAATTCCCTTGGGACTGACTTTGCCAACCCTTTCCAAATCCTAGAAATGCCTCCCTCAAGGACCCTGAAAGGAACTGACTCCCAGTCACAGCTCCCAGACACAGGGACCTGAGGGAGAGAAGGGCATGACTCTGACTCTTGGCAGGACTAGTGAGTGGACCATGCTCCAGATACTCGGGAAGACAGGACTCTGCCCAAGCAGAGCCCGCCAAGTCACCACGCTGGTACAAAGTACACGCAAAGGACTCTGCAGATTATTTCTCCAGGCAGCCATGTACCTGCAGAGACCAAAGACAACCTGGCTTGGGAAAAAAAGCAAGCTGGCAGAAAGCAGCCCAACCTCTTCCTTCCGCGGGCTACATGCAGGGGAAATCTCAGATCTCTTGTAAACTGATGGGAGGGTGAGGGGCACCATAAAGGGTCAGGTGCAACACCAGGGACGTGCCTGGGAGAACAAGCCTGAAGCAGGGGTGCCACCAGGATTAAGACAGAAATGAGAGAAAAAAAAACACGAGGTCAGGAAGCTCTCAGCAGTGGGACAGAGAGTCCACTGTACAGTATTTATTGCTAAGAACCAGTTATCATCAGAAGAACAACATTCTTCACAGTCAATTGCTGATCTTAGACTTTTACATATCTTAGGGCCTTACGTCATGATAATCATCGCCTTGGTCAAGGCCTTTCTCAACAGGAAGTTCTTCCAAAGGAAGGAGCCAGAAGAGTAGCCTGAAGCAGGCCTCTACCTCCTGACACCAGCATTCTTTATGGAAAGATCCCATAAGCAGTCTTTCCTGTATCTATCTTTCTCATCCCCAACAGGGCCCGTCCCCAGGAAGGCGCTTCTCGCTGTCAAAGGCAAAGAACCCATCAACTGATAGCTCACTAGCTCACCTAGAGAAAGAGGCCCTGAGGTGCCAGGGTCCACCCCTGCACCCGCGGTACTCCAGAGGGGCTCTCGGAGTAGTGGCTCCAGGACCTCCTTAGCAGCACTGGGGAGGCTCAAAAAATGAGTAATGGATAAACACGGCAGTAGGGCGCCCTGGGCATGGAGCCAAGGCTGAAGTGCATCCAGGACCCACAGGTCGGATCCCCGGCAGCGCTGGGCGCCAAAACACCAACAGAGTTGGTGGGTGGGCACAAGGCAGTAAAATCTGCTGACAACGCAGCAGCTGGCTGACACTTGCAGGGCACTGGACGGGGCGTCCCGCACAGACGCGGGCCCAAGCTCACGGCCCCGACCAGGACCCCGGCCAGATGACTCGGTGCAGTCGCGCACCGAGCACCCCACCCCAGCGCTGCACCCACGCCGCTGGCCCTGCGTCGGGCTCTGTGCCACCCTGGCGCTCTCGGCCTCCCCGACGCCCGGGGGGTGGTTCCCAGCACCCTGCAGGAACCGTGGCCCGGCTCCGCTTTCCGCGCGGGCTGTGCGCTCAGCACTTCCTGCGCTCGCCGGCGGCCCGCGGCGTGGCACCGGCGAACGGCAGGCGGCACGCCCGTGGCCGCGGGCACCGGGCTCCCAGCAGCGCCTTCCCGAGCCCCGCGGTCCCGCGGCCTCGGAGCACCGGAGGCGAAGGGCCCGACAGCTTCGGGGCGCGGGCACTTTTGGTCGCGCCCCTGGGAGGCTTTTACCTGCCCACGATCAGCACGTGGTCAGCCTTCGGAGCTGCCATGCTCGCGTCGCCTGCAGCCGGTACTGCGCGGTCTCAGCGTCGCGGGACCCAAGTGCCGAGCGCCCGGACCCAACAGCGCAAACGGGCCCCGCCCCCACGGCCCCCACGAGGGCGGGGCCTGATCCGCGCGGCCCCTTTGGTTGCGCTCCCTACCGGGAAGGCTGAGCGGCCCTGATAGGTCCGGAGCGGTGAGCGGGGCCGGGTGCGGCGGCCCCATTGGCTGAGGCGCGGGCAGAGCCCGCCTCCCACACCCCGGCTCTGACCCGCTTCTGCCCGGCGCCCGCAGCTACGGCAACGCCCGCGGGGAGCGTGCCAGGTTCCGCCGGTGCCAGCCCGCTCCCTCGCTGGCCGCCCTCGCCCTACAGTAGGTTGATGTAGGAGAAGATGGCTCCGGGCAGGCGCAAGACTCGAGCCTTCTAGGACTCGGAGAACCTCCGGGATTTCCCGCCTGCAAACTCTTACTCGGTGAACGTAGAGCGGGTTATCGCCCGCCTTGCAAAGGCAGCTTGTCCCCAGATGTGCCGCCTTCCCTCGCCGATGGGGCAGAGGACCGGGAACATGACGAGAGAAAGCTCCGAAGAAATCCGGCTTGATTGCACGGTCCTTTCGAGTACCGATACCCAAGAGAGTTGGGAAGATGGGGGTGAAGAGAGAGACACAGCGAGAGAAGCAGCAGACAGTGAGTCGAGCTTCACTTCCTCCTCCGGATACAGAGCTGCAGGAAAGGGAATGTCAAGGCTCCTGGTCCTTCGGGGTTTCTACGCAGGCCGGAGATTGGGAAGGACGTCCACACAGCACGAGCAAGCTGGCATCACCGTCATCCAGCTCACATAATTAGATAGTAATTCAACTGAAAACTTGCCACACCACCAGCCTGCAGACTCTGATGTAACAGAATAAATATATAAATAAACAAATAAAAAGAACTGTCAGAGGCAAGAGTGATCTCTAGAAAAATTCCACCTGAGTAAACACTTGAAAAGGTGCTCAACTCTAAGGGGAGAAAAATAATGAAAAGTCATGAAGATGAATAATGTTCAAGGCACTGTCAATGAAGTCTATGAGTAAAGCTCTTCGCTGCAGGGAGGACAGAGCCTTGAATCAGCATGGCCTTTCTGGAAAGACAGAGCACCACATTTTGGGGGATACTGAGTAACCTGAGCCTCAGATCCACTTTATCCACCTCCGGATCTGAGCTATTGCTGTCTGCTCACACAGTTCAGTAGGTCCACTCACTGGCAAAAGTAGACCCCAGGACTGCCTGCTCCCTCCTGATTCTAAGTTGGCTCCCTGCAAAAACGCCCGTTACCAGGTTTCAAGTGGAAGGATCTTTCTCACCAGGTTTCAAGTGGAAGGATCTACTGACCCTCCTTGGAACCCTGCCCGACTGGTAGCTCCAAGAACCAATGAAAATATGCTGGTTCAGTATTGTATTTTCAGTAAAAAAAGTCTTTGCTCTCTGATCCAGGAATCTCACATTTTCTTTCAGCTGCCCTGAAAATGTGGTGAGTTGACTTGTTAGTTTGCAGCTAGGTGAAAATTTCAGACCATCCTTCTCACTTTAAAATGGATGAATCCTTCCTCTGCGATTCAATTCTAGATATCTGCTGTGCAGAAATACTAATGAGGGGCTGGAGCCATAGCACAGAGGGTAGGGCATTTGCCTTGCGCCTGGGTTCAATTCCCAGCATCCCATATGGTCCCCCAAACACTGCCAGGAGTGATTCCTGAGTGCAGAGCCAGGAAGTAACCCCTGTGCATTGCTGGGTGTGACCCGCTTGAGTGGGCCCAGTAACGTCTCCATTGGAGACTTTGTTGTTACTGTGTTTGGCATATTGAATACGTCACGGGAGCTTGCCAGGTTCTGCCATGCGGGCGAGATACTCTCGGTAGCTTGCCAGGCTCTCCGAGAGGGGCGGAGGAATCGAACTCGGGTCATGCGTTGGCTGCGTGCAAGGCAAACGCCCTACTGCCGTGCTATCGCTCCAGCCCATAAAAAGAAAAAAAAAACTGATGAGTGAGTGAGTATGATGATATGTGAACAAGATTTTTTTTTCAGCACTGTTTTGAATAGAAAAACATTGAAAAATGGTGAGTATCAACTTTTTAAGAAATAGTTTTAACAATATGGTACTAGGCACATCTGCTTCTGACTGAGGTTAAGTAACAAAGAAACAAGATTCTGAAGCTCCACTGTCAGGCAAAAACCAAATGAAAAAAGTTATATTACTACCTCTTAACAATTAGAAGAAATCACAAAACAGATAAAACAGTAGTTTCAGGGGTATTAGACAAGAGGAGTGTAGAAATATGATCCCTGAGCCCATAATTATATGTTGCTTTTTTTTTTCAACAAAGGATAAAGGTAAATAAATAGGAAAGTCTTTCCACAAATGCTGAGGAGCAATTAAAAAATGTGTAAATTGTGGTGGTGGTTGGTGGTGGTTGGTGGTGGTGGTGGTGATTGTTGGTTTTCGATTCAGTGATCGGTTGGGCGCAGAGATTAGCAAGGCATGTGCAATGTTGGAAAGCGGAGGGCTAACGCTCACTCAGACCATTTAGCACTGACTGGCTTTTGCAGCCCCTTTTTATTGGGTTAACGATCAAAACATCCAGCATACCTCAAAGTACATAAAATCAAAAACCATAAGATCAAAACACCTTAAAGTACATATTATTTTGTAGCCTAATGATGCACAAAATTCTTGATAAAGTAAATCAGACCACCTTGTAAATCTTTACAATCTACTTCCCATATATTCCACATCAACATCTATGCAAGCCTACACAATAACCCAGTAAGGTATTTTCTTATCTTTCATCTAATCATAGCACAGTTAATCTCTAACAAAAAGCAGCTGCATTGGAACATGCTGACCCCAACCCAGCTCACTCAGAGTTCCTAGCTGTTTGCAGCTATGACGCAGCCTTGTTTGCAAGGCAGCGCTTCCGGAACTTCCTCATGACTCTGATCAGGCTCCAATAGATGATAATAACAACGATGATGATGATGATGATGATGATGATGACGATGATGATGATGATGATGGTGTTTTAATTCAAAAATGCATAATACGGCTGAAGTGATAGTACAGAAGATAGGGGGCTTGCTTTGCATGTGACTAACCCTAGTTTGATCCTTGGCACCCCATATTGTTCCCGTGCCCACCAGGATAGACCCCTGAGCCAAGTCAGGAGTAAATACCCTAAGTACTTACTAAGCCAAACCCTAAGTACCACAGAGTATAACCCAAAACAAACAAACCAAAAAATTCATGACCAAGATAAAAATAAAACCTAAACCATAAAAACAGGGAAAAGCTGTGTGATCATGAGTTATACAAAGACTTCTCAGCTATGGCAGCAAGTACAGAAAGTGCAAAAACATTTGATAAGTCTTCATCAAAATTAAAGCTCAAGATTTCCCAAAAATATTAAGAGGAGACAATAATTAAGAAAATGAGTAAATAAGCCACAAATGAGGAAATACTTTTAAATGAAAAGTTATAGGACATGTTCAAAGAAATTGTAAGGAATTCATGAATTCATTAATACTTCTTTTTTATCTTTTCACTGATGTATCATAATTTACGTTAGTCTGACATTAATGTTTTAAATGTTTTAAATATACAAAGTTCCTACACTGCCTGATCATCAAAGTGCTGATATTCTTCCACACTGTCCCTAAGACCCTTACTATTGGCTTCCCCAACCCAGCATAGCCAACACATACTGTAGGCAGGTACTCCAGGTTTGTTTCCACTATCCATTGTGCATTCACTTTGTTTATACTCCATGTGTGCGTGAGATCACTTGGTGTTTTTCATTCAACTTCTCACTCAGTTTGCTTAGCATGAAACCTTCCAGTACCCCCAAGCTGCTACAAACTTCAAGATTTCATCCCTTCTTCTTCCACTTTATTTTTAAACCATAATTTACAAAGTTGTTCATTTGTTATATACCAATACCACCACCACTGTCAGCGTCTCGCCACTATTCTCCTCATTTTCCCAACCACCCATCAAGCCTGTCTTCATGGCAAGCCCAAAATGATTTATTTTATATTGATTGTTACCACTAAATGGCTATGTAAATATAAAAATAACTGCTTCCATAAAAGAAAATTTATGAAAAATTGAACCAACATCAAAGTCTTTATGACCACCTAGAAACTTGCAGGGACCTAAATTCATTGCTGAATTATCCAGAATTCATAAATCTTGTGTCTTCAAAAACAGATGAAAGCCTGTTCTCATGTTCAGTGCCTGTTTTTTCTCAAGCTTTTCCAGTTGCCACAGATCTTAGCTGCCTACATCACTAGGTTCCAGCAATTTCTTAAGAATGAACCACTGAACATGGCCTCTGGGGCAGCGTTATCTTTTGAAGGAACTGCAAGATGCCCTCCCACCTCAGTCAAGTCCCCCCCCCCAAGCACCCAGGCCAGAGGGGATCCCCGGTAAGTTTTAGGACTGCATCAGAAGCAGGACTTTAATCCTACTCAGACACCATGCAGCCGACTCCCCTACAGGTACAGCAGCTCTGGAGGGCATGGCCTCCCAGGAGGCAGCTGCATTTTCTCCTTTCCCAGCGCTTTGCACTCACATCTCAATATCCATTACCTAATTATGATGAGGACTGCCTGGCTATCCCAAACACATTAGGCCAACAGTCTATTAGCCTATTCTAATCTCACCAAAAATAATGGTGAACAGAAGAAACTGAACAAGTCTAATATAAAAAGAATACATCCTTGGGGCTGGAGCAATAGTACAGCAGGTAGAGCATTTGCCTTGCACGGAGCCAACCCAGGTTCAATTCTCAGCATCTCATATGGTCTCCCGAGCACCATCAGGAGTAATTCCTGTGAGTGCAGAGCCAGGAGTAACCCTGTGCATCACTGGGTGTGACCCAAAAAAATCCAATAAATAAATAAAAATGACACATCCTCTGAAGCTGACTAGAGGACTACATAAGTCACAGAGGAGCACCAAACAGGAACTTAGTATTCAAGAAGGGGAAAAGGTGACCACCATTGACCGGGCTCATCCAGAATCCTTTCTCACAGTGAGAGATGGACACTGATAG